TTACGTGGGGGGGAGATTCCCCACGAGAGATGGAACATGTTTTTTGAAACACCCTGTACATCGAGAAACTATGGTTACGGTCGTTGAATTTGACACTTTGACACATGTTTTTATATTATCACGTCGCGTCATAGATAAATGCAACAAGTTTAGATTGGAAAGCCCGTAAAAATTTTAGGTCGCGAAATTATTTTGGGTCGCGACAGTTATACGCGATCTGGCGCTGCTATAGCGATCGCTAAGAACAACGGCAAACAAAAACAAAAATAATTTTCTCTTGTCAAAGTCAGAATCTTCAAAATCTCTTCAAAAGTCATAACATAGATAAATGTAACAAGTTTAGTTTGGAAAGCCCGTAAAAATTTTAGGACGCGAAATTATTTTGTGTCGCGACCGTTATACGCGATCTGGCGCTGCTATAGCGGTCCCTAAGAACAACGGCAAACAAAAACAGAAATAATTTTCCCTTGTCAAAGTCAGAATCTTCAAAAATCATAATAATCTTTCAAAATCTAAACCGCTCTCATTAAAGAAATTCCGAAAAGTGTTTATAGTTACATTTTCAAAATAATAATTGCTATCTTGTGAGTTTAATTCAAGTTTTATTTACTCGAACCGGTCGTAATTGTGAAAAAGTGGCATTAAAAACTTAAAAAGCTGTGCTGTGAACTGCAAAAACCATCGTGGATCGTGGCATAACGTCGGTTTCCAATGTTTCATAGGTATTTCATACATGCGTCCTTATATAAAATAAAGTTTCTTGTACGCAACACACTGTCTTTTATTTATAAAATTAAACGAAAATAACAATAAATTTGAATAAACAATATTTGGCGATATAATTCCGGAAAAAGCCGAACCGCTCCGAAATTTTCAAAAGTTTTGGGTCGCGACCGTTGCAAGAATAGCGCCAAATAGTGTTTACACTGTCCTTACGGGCACTTTCCAATCTAAACTTGTTTCATTTATCTATGAATCATAATAATCTTTCAAAATCTCAACCGCTCTCATTAAAGAAATTCCGAGAAGTGTTTATAACGTCCATTTTTAAAGTAATTATTGCTATCTTGTGAGTTTAATTCAAGTTTTCTTTACTCCAACCGGTGATAATTGTGAAAAAGTGGCATTAAAAACTTAAAAAGCTGTGCTGTGAACTGTGAACTACAAAAACGATCGTGGATCGTGGCATAACGTCGGTTTCCAATGTTTCATAGGTATTTCATACATGCGTCCTTATATAAAATAAAGTTTCTTGTATGCAACACACTGTATTTTATTTATAAAATTAAACGAAAATAACAATAAGTTTGAATAAACATTATTTGGCGATATAATTCCGGAAAAAGCCGAACCGCTCCGAAATTTTCAAAAGTTTTGGGTCGCGACCGTTGCAAGAATAGCGCCAAATAGTGTTTACACTGTCCTTACGGGCACTTTCCAATCTAAACTTGTTTCATTTATCTATGAATCATAATAATCTTTCAAAATCTCAACCGCTCTCATTAAAGAAATTCCGAGAAGTGTTTATAGCGTCCATTTTTAAAGTAATTATTGCTATCTTGTGAGTTTAATTCAAGTTTTATTTACTCCAACCGGTGATAATTGTGAAAAAGTGGCATTAAAAACTTAAAAAGCTGTGCTGTGAACTGTGAACTACAAAAACGATCGTGGATCGTGGCATAACGTCGGTTTCCAATGTTTCATAGGTATTTCATACATGCGTCCTTATATAAAATAAAGTTTCTTGTATGCAACACACTGTATTTTATTTATAAAATTAAACGAAAATAACAATAAATTTGAATAAACAATATTTGGCGATATAATTCCGGAAAAGGCCGAACCGCTCCGAAATTTTCAAAAGTTTTGGTTCGCGACCGTTGCGAGAATAGCGCCAAATAGTGTTTAAATCTTTAAATTGTCCTTATGGGCACATTCCAATCTAATCTATGCGTCGCGTCGCAAAAATTATGTTCGCATATTTGCTGTGAAACTTCTTACTAACAGCTATTAAATTGAATGATTTAAAGGACATTGTTTGAAAAAGTGTAGTTTAAAATTTTGAAAAAGTAATAAGTCTGAGGACTTCATTCGTATACCTCTATGCGCGTGTCGAGTTTGGTTCCAATCGACCTATGATTAAGAAAAATCCTGATCATTTCCAGCTGTCTAGCACGACAATTAATTATTCATAAATTAATGAGCGAATTAAGGATACGCCACTGTTTCATGACAAAATTGAAGAGACTGAACTAAAACTAGTTTTAGTGAACCCTAATCGACATTTGATTTCGGAAAATCGACTATACATAATATATCATATTTTACGCAAAATTGTAAAATTTCCAGGGATTTTGTGCCTAAACGGTTGACTTTAGCGAAAATTTTCATAAAACCTTTTTTATAGGAAAAAATTCTCTTTAATTTTGCTCTCCTCAATTTTTTGCGAAAAACGCATAGTTTTCGAGATATTCGCAAAATACCAATTTTGGGCGCCATCTTGGCAAGATGGCGGCGCCGGCGGCAAGTCTGGAAATGTGCATTTTAAGGATTTTAGTTAGGGACCTCAAAACCTATAAACCTGCAAAGTTTCAAAACTTCCGGACTTTTTTCCAAGCAGGCCCCTTTTTTGATCCCCAATGACTGAACTATGGGGATTACCAGGCTTTTACCCATCCAGACGTTCACATCGTATAACGTCGCTTAACTTTACTAATTGCTGATCAGTTATCGATGTTTCTATGTAGCTCAACAACAGAAAAAAATAGAGTTATTATTTATTGTTTTTTTTGGGACATCATATACAGGGTGTTTCAAAACAAATGCGAAAAACTTCAGGGGGTGATTCCTTGTTAAAAATAAAGGGTAGTTTGCTTTATAAACGTTGGGTCAAAAGTCAATCATTAGGGAGATATCGCAGTACATAGATGGCGGAAAAACAATGTTTTTATTTTTTATATTGAAAACGAAAGAGATAGACTAATGAAATTTTATGGAAGCATTACTGTTATGAAAACACACTTTCTGGTAAATTTTCACTTTTTTAAAATGAGTGGAAGGGGTTGAAATAAACTACCCTATCATTCTTGTTAACGAAATTTAAACAAAAATCGTATCAAACACATGCAAAAAAAGTTAATTTGGATAGTTCAATTTATTTAGCAACTTTTTTTATCTTTGTGTTTTTGATAAAAGTCACCGATTTGAAATTAAAAAATAAAATGTAAAGCATTACATGTCAGGGCAGAAAACATTTTTAGATAAAGAAAAAAGGCTTCGGAATAATTAATTGATCGTAAGATAATAACGTATTGCAGTAGAGTAATGTCAAATAAAATAATATTAGAAACATCCTAAAAAGTGACACCATAACCTAACCTAACCTACTAGATTCTTTATCTAAAAATATTTTTTGTCCTGACATGGTAATGCTTTACATTTTATTTTTAATTTCAAATAGGTGACTTTTATCAAAAAAACACAAGAGATAAAAAGTTTCTAAATAAACTAAACTATCCAAATTAATTTTCTTGCATGTGTTTGATAATATTTTTCTTTAAATTTCGTTAACAAGAATGATAGGGGTACTTTATTTCAACCCCTTTTACTCATTTTAAAAAAGTAAAAAAAATACCAGAAAGTGTGTTTTCATAACAGTAATGCTTCCATAAAATTTCATTAGTCTATCGCTTTTCGTTTTCAAGATAAAAATTAAAAACATTATTTTTCCGCCATCTTTGTACCGCGATATCTCCCTAATGGTTGACTTTTGACCCAACGTTTATAAAGCAAACTACCCTTTATTTTTAACAAGGAATCACCCCCTGAAGTTTTTCGCATTTGTTTTGAAACACCCTGTGTAGGGGGGGTGGGGGTACCGTTAATACAACCGCCTAGAAAATATTTTAGAGGAATACATCTCATCTATAGACTTAAAATTGTTTTTAAGTCTATGTTCCCATCGGTATTAATACTATCTCAAAAACATTCAACCTTATACCGTATGATCGAATAAAAACGGCGTCAACGATGGCTATGAAATGAAGATCGCTGTCATTTTATATGTAAAATTATATGGGAAATGTCATCAATCGTCATTTCATGGCCATCGCTGACGCCGTTTTTATTCGATCATACGGTAGCTTTAACGTTATAGAACATTATCTCTGTTCTGTTAATCGAAATAGCTTCACTAAAGACACCATGTATAGGCATATACAGGGTGAGTCTTAAATAACTGCAAATATTTTAGGGGTAGTATATTTCGACCACAGAAACACGATGATGCGAGGTTTTTTTCGCGAAAAAAAAATGAAAATTAGGAATTTTTGCAAAAAAAGTTTGAAAATTTTTAAAGTTTTTAGTAAAAAAGGTAATTTGTTGATAATATGGCAACATAAGTAGTAGATTAAATTTACAAGAAAAAAAATCCAGAAAAGTTCCAGTGGTTCTCAAAATTTTAGCAAAAAATCATTTTTCTTAGTTAAATAACTCGGTTATTTTAGATTTATTTGCAAAACGGTACAGAGAAAAAATGTTTCGTTTAGCGATATCTACCAACCCTGAAAATATTTGCACCTATTGACTCACCCTGTATATTTATCTTTTAAACAAAACCAAAGAAATAACGGAGTTAGTTGCAGCTAACTGATTAATTATTTAAAAATATTTAAAAATTTTGAGAATCACCAGACTCGACAAAAGGACTTATGAGTTGTTGCCAATTCGTCCAAAAATTCTAGCAACAAACAGGAATAAAAAATTATGTCAATTATGTATATTTACAGTAATGCAAGGTTTCACCATTCCGTCGTCTAAAAATATTAAAATATCTTCGACGGTAACTATGCCAAGAAAAAGATGCCTATGCCTCTGGTATTTCATCAGTTCCTCACTACGAAATATGTAAACAATAATTTCATTTGTGATATCCACCAAACATGTGTCTGATATTCAAAAAAGTTGAAACTCTTTCTAACTTTCAAAATTCAATCTTTCAGGACAATAAAGCGATGGTGACACCTCTGCCATCTGTCGGCGTCCCTTCACAACCGAACGTTCGCATCAACATTACCGATCCCGACAAAGCAAATCCCCCCACTCAACAAACAAAGCTGCCATCTAGTTTGCGATTCAGGAGACGCATTCGAGTGCCGCACGCCGTCAACGCAGTTATCTGCGTCCTCGGTAAGTTAATTCCATTTCAAACATTTATTGATTAAATATGAGGGTCAAACCCAGCGAGGAGCTAGATATAACGTTGCCGTAGTTAACAAAAATTATTATTAAAATTATTTTTTTTATTACAAATGTTATTTGTTTGTGTTTTTACGAAGAAAATATATTGTTACGGATGCCGTGAGTCTTCTAATTTAAGACACAAGATAAAGCACTTTTTTTCCAACTATACATAATACAACCACAAGTATCTATTTAAAAAAACTTCCCGAATTTGTCACAATTCGCTTATTACAGAATTCTATTCAAAACTGACTGACTGACCAGCGCGAGGTGCGGTTATGTACTGTAACGGATGGTACGCGAAACTTCCACTCTAGAACTCTGTAGAATTCTTGAGTTTATTAGAATTCTCTAGAAATTATCGTTGTCTCGTCCGTCATTTTTCAACAATGTCTAAGGGTGCAGCCACACTATCCTCCTAAAAACGGCGTATCGGCGTAACGGCGTAACGACCTTGAATCGATTTCCAGTAATTCTATTGGCTGAAATTTTTGACAGATAAAATTTCTGACAGATGAATGTTTCAGCCAATAGAATTACTGGAAATATATTCAAGGTCATTACGCTGTTACGCCGATACGCCGTTTTTAGGATAGTGTGGCTGCACCCTGAGAGTTGGCGCACTACTCAATTCCCGAAAAATGTCGCCACGTTTCTTGACAATATAAACACGCTCAGCGGTTGTTCGCTCTTCCGACAGATGTCGCCATACACCTTGACAATATAAACCATAAAGTAACTAAAATAAAAGAGTGTTTGAAAGGTTGTCTAACTTGGCCATAATGTTGCATAGTTCAGTTAGGGCTCCAAAGCGTCGCCACCTGCTACCTGTCACGTGTCATTACAAGAATGACAAGTGACATGACAGCAAATTATTTGTATTTTGTAATTGTTTACAATTTTGTTTTGAATTTTGGAATTTTGTTATTATTTTGTGTAGCATAAACTTTGTTTGTTTTGTGTTTGTGCGTACAGAAATTATGGACGAAGTTTTATTTCCCGAGGAACCAGAGACCTTATATTTCTCTATGATTTGAACTTTATATTTTGTGCTGTGTTTTGCCATCATCATGTAATATTTTGTTCAGCGATGATGTGATTTGAACACGATCCAGGAAAGGGTATCATGCAAAGCAAGTTCGATATGTAAAGACATTGCCCATCTCTGAACTCTGTGAACGTAAAACGAACTGACTATAAATTTGCGCCTTCATTTAATAGTGTTGAACATTTGCTACCTCAACTGAACTTCAACTGCTGACTGCTGAGTTTATAAATTCAACTTAAAGGTGAATTAATTTTTGATGTCTTATTTAAATCTTTATCTGTTATAATAGCATAGATTGCAAACCCTGCGATCTTATATGCTTTGTTAGTGGCGTTGTTAAATACGTTTTATAATACTATAGGTAAATCGAAGGGTAAACCGCTGGTGTATTTTGGTGGTGTACAAGATTTGCATTATTGGTATTAGTACTAAATTATTTGGCATTACTTTGGCATTAGTGTACAGAAATTCATCAGGAGTTTACCCCTCGAAGTTAATTCAGCATATATGTTTTATATTATCAAATTTAATTTAGCATTTAACTGTAAGCATTTGAAAAGTGTACAATAGTTTATACTTTTCAAATATTCCGTTTTTAAAAATAAACTTTCATTATATTTTTTGCAGTTTTAATTTCGTAATATTTTTAAAAATACATAAAATTTTATATTCACATTTAAACAGCCCGCCTTTTTTGTGGTAGGCAATGCAGATACCTATTTTACCGATAACGTCTGTCATATTTCAATTAGTTCAGTTAGGGCTCAAGGGTGCGCTACAATCGATCCTCGTTAAACGTGTTGCCTACTTTTGACTATGGAAATGACAACTCTTTTATTTTATATTTCTCTATGATATAAACATAAAAATAGAAGAGAGACTGTTCCAAATTTTACCATATTGGAAGGTTCGTGTCAATGTTACAAACATATCTGTAAATATTCAGTATAGTAGTCAAGTAGTAATACTTACTATAGAGTAATAAGACTTTAAATTTAAGTGAGTTTCTCTTGCTCTTTTATCCTGCTATTTTATAGGGATATTTTAATTACTTATACCTAAGTGCTTATTACAATGATATGATATACCATAAATTTACCGAATATACATATAATATTTAATGCAACTTTTACTGAAGCAAAGTTTACAAAATATATAGTACTTATTCTATAAACTTTAGTAAAAGTTTGTTTGCAAAAGCATTGCAAAAGTTGATATATGATTAAAGGCCTAAAGTGCTTCCTTCCAGTGCTTTATTGTTCAACGTTTGCCAGTGGGTTTAGAGCAACAAGCAACAAATAATTCTCTTAGTAGGGCTAAGTCGTCATCTGCTGTAAACCTAGAGCTTGCTTCATATAGACGCGAATTGCGAATTGCGGAAAGCGATTCGCCAAAAAATATTCGCAAAATTTGGACCTATTTCATACAGTCGCGAATTTTTAGGGACATTTCATTTTTGCTCCACTGAAAGTTACCAAAAAAAATCATAACCTGAGATAACTTTTACGTTAACGTTTACGACCTTTATTTTATATTTTATAGCATACAATAGCTTATTCCGCTTTCTCTTATTACCGATTCTGAACCGTCCTAGAACTATGATGCGTATGCGCAGAAGGAAATATGAAGACATTATTTCATTTGCGCATGCGCTGCAGAGTTCTAGGACGGTTCAGAATCGGTAATAACAAGAACCCGAACAAATCTAATATGAGTTCAAATTTGTTTAATGATTATGAATATTGATTACCATTGTGCGATTGGAACAGAAGGCGTAAAATTGCCATTTACTTATTGTTAAAACGTAGAAGAGAACGGTCATTTGGGACATGTGAAATATTTAAATTTCGTAAACAACAAGGGTGCTTATCGTAATTTAATTCAAGAAATGAGGACAAAAGATGAGAAAAAATTTAGGAATTTTCACAGATTGTCTGTAAAGGAGTTTGATAACTTGGTTGAAAAATTGTCATCATATATATCAAAAACATATCATAAACATATGCACGAGAACCCATTTTACCTGGAGAAATCCTTTCAGTTACTTTGTACTTTGTCAGCGTCGTCAAAATAATCGATAACCGATCACAACACCATTCTGCGCAAACGCGAACCTTAAAATCGCGCGAATATTCGCGAAAAGTTGAAAACACTTTAACTTTCCCGCCCACCAAATTTTAAATCTTGCTAACCGCCAAAATCTTAAAATTTCTGACAGCGCCGCCATGATAATTAAAATTGGACCAATGAGAGCAGTTTCGCAAAATCGCGATTCGCGATTCGCGTCTACAGGTCTATTCCCAGAAGAATCCCTGACTAGTCAGCACGTTTCATTGGTTAAAGTGCGTAGAAACCTGATTGTTAGTCAGGTTTCTACACATTTCAACCAATAAGAACCGCGCTGACTAGTCAGAGATTCTTCTGGGAATGGCCTACATGAACAAGGCTTAAGTCGCTTTAGAGGTTCTTTAATATTGGAGGAGGTGGAATCCATATTTTGGGCCATATTTATTTAATTAAAACTAATCCCAGCTACTTAAATATCAAATTACCTAATAAAACTAAAGTAATAATTCAAAACAATTCAAACATAACCAAAAATAAAAGATCTCGCCGGCCGGCCCCGGTTGTCAAATACCCGCACATGCCCTTTTAAGCAATTTTTAAACGTTATTTAGAAATTGCGCTTGGTGTAATTGATCCGCAAATTACGTCAGACGGTAACGTTATTAGCGGGCGTTGCGTTAAAAATTGACTCGCGCATATAGTAACCATGACTGACCATGATAAGGTACGCGTAAATACTGCATGACTCTATTCGGTTTTACGATATCTCTCTAATAACTGTGCCGGTCAGGCGCTGTGCACAATTTTAGAGGCCATAAGTGGGCGTGCTATGTGCGCAAACTAGTCACCTAACTAGTGCCCGATTCCGAAAATTGGAACCACGAATAACAATAAAGAAAAAACAAAGATTATAATCTGTGGTTTGAGGTACATTGTTTGTAACTCGATTTTAGCTTAAAATTGAAGGAAAAATTGAAATATGCAATAATATACAGAGGGTTGCATTTAAAAAAATAAATTTTGCTGTGCCTCGACTTTATGGCCAACCCTGTATACTAAAATGTATTACTCGCTATAGACATTTAATAACCCTATAACTTTTATATTAAATTTTTTGCGGTACCTCCTATATTTTACTTAATATCGACCGTTCCCATACATATCAGCGACCCTGTATGTTATTAATAAATTTGGTTATTAGCATAGTATAAATTTTATAAGCCAAAAACATCTAAATTAATTAAATCGAATTATTGTTTAGGTGATATTTTCAAAAGTCATAACTCGGAAACGGTTAGTTTGAGGTACATTGTTTGTATTTCGATTTTCACTTAGAATTGAAATATGCAATATATACAGAGGGTTTTTTTTGCATTTAAAAAAAATAAATATTGATGTGCCACGAATTTATGACCGACCCTGTATACTAAAATGTATTACTCGTTATAGACATTTAAAAACCCTATGACTTATATTAAACTTTTTGCGGTACCTCCTATATTTTACCTAATAATCGACCGTTCCCATACATATCAGCGACCCTGTATATTATTAATAAATTTGGTGATTAGAATATAAATAAATAAATAAAATATAAATTTTATTACCAAAAAAAAATAGTTTAAGGATTTTAATATAGCCCAATCTGGCAACACCAATCATTAATTTATGGTTTGGTTAATATGGCGAAATGTCAACATTATAATTTTTTTAGGTACTTAATTTTTCTTGCCTGTAATGCCTGTAATTTGTGCCTGTAATCTTATCAGCATATAAACCTGCTTTGTTACCTCCTTTAGTATCATAATATATTTACAAACATAAAAATGAC